TCATTAATCAGCTGTACATGCCCCAAACTAAGCAGCCTTGTCTCCAGAGCAGTATCACTAATGCTTTTAATAAATTATTGGCATCAGTCAGTGTGTGTCTAGTTTTATGACTTTTTACTTCTGAACTCACAGCCACACACAAACCTTGGACCATGGCCAACCACTTCACATCCTTCACCTTCTGCTTCCCTACAGACAGTCACTGTAAGAAAAGTGAGGTCCTGGGTGGCACCTGGCCATGCCACCTTTGTCTTTCCCAGAAGATCCATAATCTGATTTTTAATATTGTGTGGAACAGGCAGGAGATCCAGGTCACTAGCTGTGACACAGCCTCCTAGCGACATCCCAGTCTCAGCCTCAGTCTTTGTGATCTGCAATAACTCTTTCAAGAATGCCTGCACTTAAACCCAGTTTCAGTTACATCAGAGACCATGGTCGGTCAGAACAGCAAATCCAGAGAAACCATAAATCAAAGCAGAGCTTTACTTCGTAGTCCTTGCTGCAAATATTTGGAATTTCCTGAAGAAAAGTGGCAGCTGTTACTGGCCCTGGAACAGATTTACCTGGGCCAAGAAATCAGCCTGATGGATCACTTTTGCACCATTAGAACAAAAGGCTGATACTGCCATCAGGCAGGGTGAGTACTGCCAGTACTTCAGGTATTTGTACACTGGGGCGAGACAGGAGGTCAAATTTTTCTCTATGAAACAAATATGAGGACACTGGCACTCGCAGGAAGAGGTGTATATATACACAAAAGGAGAGGTTGCCTTTAATCTACAGGTGTCTCTCTGTACTCTTTCCAACAGCCATGGCAGTCATGCTTGCTGGCTCTTCCAGGCCATCTTGGCTGTTTGTCCCTCGTGCTTTCGTTGCTAATCACCAAAATGTGACTGGTCTCCAAGGCAACTGAGGAGAGTGATTCAGGTCAAGTTGACATTGATGCACATTTTCCTATGGTGATTTGAGAGGCCGAATTATGCAACGAAGTAGTTTTAAGAGTAGGGTTTTCTTAGGTTTAAAAGAAATACAATAACTAAGTCTAAAGCTGCTTTCTATCTGCTTGTCCCAAGCTTCAGAACTCTGTACAACTTCAGTCCTAGCCACCTGCAGCCTCTTCCTGCTCACCCTTTTCCTAGTTTACTCACACAGAATCCTCACCACTGAACTATTTTGTCATCGTTTATCATCGTAACAGCTGGGGATGGCCATAAATTATTTCTGTGAAACTCATTGCCTTAGTCTAACCTCAGCATTGCTGCTTTTCACCATTTGTGCATGTACAAGCACTGGAAAAGCCACAAAGTTCGATCCTACTAAGAGACTTTGTTTCCCCTTTTCCGGGACTGAGCATGTACTGGCTCCTATTCAGGATGGGAGCACAGCAACTCAGGTCTGATTTTGCCCCCAGGGCAAGAGACAGGCTGCCACCTGCCATTTACAGGTGGTGCCATGGCTCTACTTGTGCTCTCCCCCTGCCCCCTTACAGGCTTCATGAGCCTGGCTTTTATTTGTTTATTTTTAAACTAAGATACACATAATCATATCCCTCTGTCCTTTTTAGGAGGGATATTTAGTCCTTTATATTTCCAGTATTTATTCCAGAAACCTTGCTTTACACACTGTGAATCTGTATTCAATGAGAAATTTTACCTCCATTTAATCTTTGGATCTTCAGTTACAAAAGCAGAGTGAAAGCATCACTTCAACATTAATTCACCTCAAGTTGAGAGCATTAATTGTCTAAAAGAGGGATGGAGAAAAGAGCCTATTGGACAATGAAGATCACGCATGCATGACAGAAATAACGTCTGCCTTGGAGATGCATGACTACAGACATCTTCTACAGGTTACCTGTCATAATGACTCTGTTACTACATAAACTGTGGCAAAACAGGTGACAGAAACGGCCACTGAAAAACTAACTCCCTGGACGGGTTTCTGTGGCAGGGTCAATGGTTTTCGTGTGATTTAAAGTTTGCCTTCTAGGTAACAAATTTTGTCATTAGTACAGAGCAAAATAATGGTAGCTCTGTTTGATCACTAAGGCATACTGCCCTCTGGAAGGGAAATCTTTCACTGCGATTTTCAGGCTGACGAACATCCAGCTCAGCAGCACGTGAGGAAACGTTTGATATATTCTATATGTAGAAGCATGCACGTATGAATGGCTCTGCAGTTAAGTGTCTGAGTAATAAGCTGCCTGTTACCTATCTCATCTTGTTCAGACACCAAACAACACGTAGAAACCTCAGCCATGAAGAGGAAAAGCCTTCCAAGGAACAGAGCCTACCAATATTATGTCTAGGAGATCTCCTGTTGGCCTAAGAGCACAGTATGAAGAGGCTGGCATTTTAAGTGGTTTCTGAGGTGCATTAGTGACTGTAATTTTCTGTCTCTGAGCAGAAGGGAGGCTGTCTGCCTTTGTGTTAAATGCCAGTCCTTTTGAAGCAGGCTAAAATTGTGCTCTTGATTAAAGCAGTATCATTTCAAAAATGATTTAAGAACTCTGGTAAAAACCTTCATCTGAGCTCAGAGAGCTGTCAAACTTCCTGAAGTTTTACCAGCCGTAAGTAGCCACTCACAGCCTATGGCTACATTAGCCCAGCACAGAGAGAGGGATCTGTAGAGCAGAAGAGTTGGCGCTGTGAACCTAATATCTGTGCCCATAGCACATTTCTGGAGCTGCAGGTATGTGCCTGGAAAACATCTTCCACTCTCAATTCACGCAAAAGGAATCCAAACCAAAGCACACAAAGCAAGAACAACTGAGAAATTCACGTCAAAAGCTCCTGATCTGAACTAACGCACTAATCTGGACACCTAAATGGGGCTCTACAGTCCGAGCCCCC